GGACTTTTTATGGCTGGCTGGGGAATTCTGGGAGTTGAAGTCCACTCATCTTAAAGTGGCCAAGTTTGGACAACACTGGTTTTGATTAATAAACCGCTAATATGATCAACCCTCCTACTGAGCCTAGGTGAAGGAACTTCCACATGTGACAGTTCAAAAGCAGCTCCAAACTTCTATGAATCCACGATGTCAAGAATCTAAGAATCAGATCTTTTCTGGCTCAGCTGTGATATTGCCCAAATTGTGAGGCACACAATACTACAGTAGTCAGTGTTTGTGTAGTTCTGAGTTTGGTTTATTCTACTTTCCATAACTACTTATAGAACAATTGTACATTATTCTACCTGCAGACTATTATTATTCTAACATATAAGCATTTTCGAGAATGCATGGGGGTGAATGAGAAACAGGCAAAAGAAATGAGCACAAGTGAGGACAAATAATTTATTCAATATGATTATACTAAAAGTTGATTTTAGGTCTCATGTTTGGATTATTCAAACAACCAGACTGCATAGCTAGCACTGAAAGAATGTGTGTGTGTCTGTGTCTCTGTGTGTAGTGGTGTTGATACTAACAATACATTTCATTCCTTTTTGTACAGAGTGGAGATGTTTTGTTTTCAGTTTTGATGCTCCGAGACCTGGAGAAAGTTAGGAGGGTCATGGAATGAATTATATTCATTGTAAAACACTGAAAAGCTAAATATTTCCACTGAAAGGGGAAAAGTTATTTGAAGTATGGGGCATTTGCACCGAGACAGATCAGCAAATAAGAACATTAGTTGAAGGTTAGATTAATTTCTGAATATATGAAGAAAGGTTTCTTAGTTGACTTGCATGGTTTCTTTAAAGCAGTAATTTCTGTTTAGTTCAGGTAGGTAAATTTATACTCTGCACTTTGTAGCTTTTCTGGAGGGTTTTTCTAATTATAATGAAATGTGATAAACTAGCTTATGATAAGTAGATCTTATTTAAATTTAATATTTGCATTGGGACATGGATTATATCCCGTTCTGTCAATGTGCGTCTTTTTAAGACTGAAGGAAGATATTTAATTATTGCTCCTCACCTTGAAGCCAGTTGGACA